GCACCCTGCTGGCTCATATTCAGCTGCCTGTCAACCAACACCCCCAGGTCCTTTTCCGCCGGGCAGCTTTCCAGCCCCTCTGCCCCACGCCTGTAGCGCTGTGTGGGGTTGTTGTGACCAAAGTCTTGCTGTCCCTTAGAGCAGCAAAAGGCTTGCGACGGAAAGCGTCAGGCACCCTTGGAGCAGCAGCCAGGTGAACTAATGAGGCTGCCATGTGATTAGTGCCTGCGACCCCCTACACCACCGCAGGTAGCTTGCCGGGACCCTGGGACGCGGAAGCCCAAAACCAGGACACCTCCTAACCGTGGCTGACCCAGCGAGGCTTGTTCTGGCCATAGAGGGTGAGGGCTCCCAGAGGTCCGGGAGTGCGTGGCAGCAGGTGGGGAGCAGAAGCGGGGGCTCCTGTGTTCGGGGAGAGGGTGGAGAGGGGCTTCGGGGGGGTTGCCAGCCTCTCTCCCCCTGCCCAGAGGCAGCTCCAGCTTTCCTCTTCCCACACTGCCCTCTCCAGATCCCTCTGCTTTCTGGCAGATAGGATTAAGCCTGACCTTCCGCCCCATCTCGGAGAGAGCCAAACCTCTTTCAGATCTAATTATTTTCCATTTTTGTTTAATTGTGCACATCCTGCTGCTGGCTGAGGAGAGCGGCTCCTGCCTGGGCTGGGGCAGGGAAGGGCACCCGGTCCCTCCCCAGCCGCGGGCTTTCGGATCAATGCTCCATCATCTTGGCGTTGTGATTTCAAATCCCCAAATCTCTTGGAGGTCTGAGGCAAGTTTCTCAAGAAGCGGCTCTGACACCATCCTGTGTTTCTCTGGTGGTGACCTTCACACTCAGCCAGGCCCCGTGCGAGGGAGAGGAGTCCGGCCACAGCCATCTGCCTGCCTCATCATCATCCTCCTCCTCCTCCTCTGCGCCCAGTTTGCACCGGGTTCTGTTTCTTCTGCATGTATTTTGCTACCTAGTTCCTCCGTACAAGTGGCACCAGCTCCTATTAGCAGTGCATTCCATGCCTTTTTTAAACGATCTTTTGATTTCTCAGCTTACCTGAGCTGCTGCAAAATCCCGCGGCCTCTCCCCGCAGACGGTGCCGGGCTGGGGTTTGGCTGTGCCAGCCTGAAAGCGCTGCCAGATCGCCCCAACAGCAATGGTAAACCGTGGCGGTGATAAGGGAATGGGTGGCATCCCTCTGCAGGAAGAGGGGAGAAAATAAGATGGGTTTTTAACTCACCGGGCAGCTGGCTAGGATATGGGGGATATAAATGGGACAGAGAAATCAGATTAAGCACGGCAGGAAGCTTTGCCTGCAGCAGTTACATCTGCATACGGAAAATATGGAGATGCTCTGGTGGACCTCGAGTCCCCCGATGCTCATGTATTTTTTACAACTTCACTTAGGTTGAGCGTTGCTTTTCCAAATCCCATTTTCTAGCACCAGAACAACCTCACAGCATCTCCACAGGCACAGGAGCGCACTCAGAGTACCAAAACCCGCTTCTGCTGCAAATGAAGCGGTTCCTTCTCCACCAAAGCTGTGCCACGCCGTGTCCCTTGCACCTCTCGGCACAGCGGCACGAGATGGCTTGGGCATGTCATCGGCTGGCTTGGGAAACGCCGTCAGCCGGGTCGGGAAACAGCTCTGGAGGAGGGGTGGGTCTGCAGAGAAGTAAATATCACTGCAGAAAGTTCCAGTGAGAGTCGTCGGTGTTTCCAGCAAGCCATCTAGTGGCTTCCTATTAAAACAGTTGCATGCCTTCAAACTGGGAAGGCGAAGCTGGAGGGGTGAGTGCTGCTCACCACCACAGTTGTGTCAGGGAACTGACGTGCAGGGTTTGGTCCTAACTGGGAAAAGGCCCTACTGTAATAGCCGTCGTCTGGGTCACGGGGTGGTGGAGTGGTGGAAGGGTTGGGTTAGTTGCTGGACGGCAGCATGGCATTTCCCAAGAGCAAACCTGGTGGGTGATCCTACAGATGGATGTCCAGATCTTCATTTCACTGGTGTGAGGTTGGTTACCCTACCTCAAAAACACATGAAGTATATAGGGATAATCAATGATTTAGAGCAGCTTCCTCTACCATATGGATAGGACACAGTAGAGATGGAGGGAAAATGTAGTTTTGGGGTTTTTTTAATAACATGAGAACTTGGGGCATCTCGCTTGGTGAAGTTTTGGGCAGTGGGTTTAAAGCAAACAGGAGGAAGTACTTTTTCACCAGACGGTTCAGTTGTGGCACCCTTAGGGTTTGACCCTAACTGGGAAAAGGCCCTACTGTAATAGCCGTCGTCTGGGTCACGGGGTGGTGGAGTGGTGGAAGGGTTGGGTTAGTTGCTGGACGGCAGCATGGCATTTCCCAAGAGCAAACCTGGTGGGTGATCCTACAGATGGATGTCCAGATCTTCATTTCACTGGTGTGAGGTTGGTTACCCTACCTCAAAAACACATGAAGTATATAGGGATAATCAATGATTTAGAGCAGCTTCCTCTACCATATGGATAGGACACAGTAGAGATGGAGGGAAAATGTAGTTTTGGGGTTTTTTTAATAACATGAGAACTTGGGGCATCTCGCTTGGTGAAGTTTTGGGCAGTGGGTTTAAAGCAAACAGGAGGAAGTACTTTTTCACCAGACGGTTCAGTTGTGGCACCCTTAGGCACAGGGACTGAAAGGTTGACAGCTTCAGAGAGGCATTTGGTAAACGCTGGAGGAGAGACTGACCTGGGGCTGGGAAGCGTCGGTAGGGTGGTCTAGGTAGATCCTCAGTTAACCTTGGCCGGTGTTTGTATAAGATGTTCAGAAAAACCTCCGGTGATGGAGATTTCACAACGTCTGTAGGCAATCTATCCCTGAGCATCACTCGCCCGACCTGTAAGAGGTAGTTTCTTCATGCCCGACCTCATTCACCTTTGCTGCAATTCAAGCCTATTACTACAGTCCCCAGGGGACACGGAGAGCAGCTTGTCCACGCTGGTCTTCACCCCTCAGACAGATGACAGGCTGGCTGGTGTGGTTTTTATGTGCAACGTGGCATTTTGACTGATGTTCAGCCTTTGATGCTTCTTGACCCCACCTGGTACAGCACAGCGATTTGTTCCCAACCTCCATGCAGATGTTTGCCCCTACTTAATGCAGCTGTTTTCTTCCAACTTTTCTCCATGTCTCAACATTGTTTGACTTCTAATCCAGTTTTCTGGAGTGGTTTCATTTCTCCTAGCATGATAGCTGCACGTTGAATACATTCATCGCGTCACCCGTACCACCGATGACATACTGGGTAGTGTCACGGCCAGGATGCGTCTCCTTGCGCAGCACATCCTCCCAGTCTGATGGTGAATCACCAGTAACGACTCTCTCTGTATGGTTTCCTGATGAACTGTGTGCCCACATTAGAGTAGTTTTGCCCAAGCGTGGTTCTCTGGTGTGCTGCTGAGGAAGCCATGTGCAGCAGCACCTAATGAATATCAAGATATACGGTGCTGACTGTTTCTCCAGCTATTCACAGGCCAGTTACTCTGTCGCAGAAGGAAATTAAATTGCTCTTGACAAATCGGTGTTGGCAGTCACTTATCATCTTGTTATCTTCTAAGTGCTTACAAATAGGTCGTTTAATTATTTGTCCCATCAGTTTTCCAGGAGTTTGAGCTAAGTGACTAGTTTGTAATTCCCTGACTTTTCCTTTTGCATAGTTTTAAAGCTAAACCCTATGTTTGCTTTTCTTCTGGTCTTCTAAAACCTCTCCTATCTGCCGTGAGCTATCAGAGGAACAAGGGCTCTGGGGCTGCTTCAGCTGAGCCCTTCCCTCAATATCTTTGGGGCAATTATCGGGCCAGGCTGGCGGGTGGACCAACACCCTGCTTTGGTTATTGCCCTCCTGCTGGGATGCTCCTTCCCTTTGCCTCCATGGCTCTTGCCTATGTTAGCTCATCCGCATCTTGACCTTTTCCATTTTCCAACCAGTGCTTTGAAAAGGTTAAGTTTATCCACGTAGAGGTTTTGTGTAGTATTTTGTGTAATCTGCCACGATATGGAAAATTTGGGCCAAATCGTGACTTTGATTAACATTAGGACAACAGCAGTGGAGCTATGTGGCCACCGAGGTGGGTGTAATTCAGCTTTCTGAGTGATTTTCAGGAGTGTCTGGTAACTCTCCGCATCCCAGTTGGCACACCTTGCCATGATCATGGGTTTTGGAGATGGGAGATGCTCACGCAGTGGCGTCACGCGTGCAGCCATCCCTTTGGCATGTTGTATTTACCCCGCCAGGGTCTGTTTATGTCTTTGTTAGCTCTGTTTGCCGATTTCTCAATTCTCTTCTTTTTTTTTTTGTTCTCTTCCTTTTCTATTCTTTCAACAGGAATCATTAACCAATGGCAACAGGAATCCAAGGATAAAGTGATTTCCCTATTGCTAACCCACCTGCCTTTACTGAAGCCCGGAAACATCGAGGCAAAAGTCGAATACATGAAACTCTTGCCTAAAATCCTGGCCCACTCGATCGAACACAACCAACACATCGAGGAGAGCAGGCAGCTGCTGTCCTACGCCTTGATACACCCTGCCACCTCCTTAGAGGACAGGAGCGCCCTGGCCATGTGGCTCAACCACCTGGAGGACCGCACGTCGGGTGGCTTTGGCAGCCAGAGCAGAGGTCGGTCGGATTCGGTGGACTACGGGCAGACGCACTACTATCACCAAAGACAAAACTCCGACGACAAACTCAACGGATGGCAAAACTCTCGAGACTCGGGCATAAGCGTCAGCGCTTCCAGCTGGCAGGACAAAAACCTGGCGTGCGAGAACGGCCATCTGCCCCTCTACTCCTCCTCCTCCGTCCCCACAACCATCAACACCATCGGCACTAGCACAAGCACCAGTAAGTACCCACGGGAGGCTCTGGGGACGGCCACCCATGGCTGCTCTTCACAGCACGGTCCCCCCCATCCCGCTAGAAAATACTGCTTTGCCATGGTTAGCAGAGGGGCTAGGTTCATCTGGGCCATAGAAAACACCTTTTTGGTTTTTTCTTTCCCCTACCTGCTTTTTTATTTCCTGCCTGCCTTAGGTTTGGGGTTTTTTTCCTAGTCCTGGGGGATTTTAAAGACCTGGCAGCTGGAGAGGAGGGAAAAACAGCCAAGCTGTAAGAGCAGAAAACGTGCGTTATTGAAGGGAGCCCCTTTTATTTCATGTAGCTCCATGTAGATTTCCAGTTCACGTTTCAAGAGTTCCTAAAGCAAGCAGGGAGCTGATGCTTCGTGTCCAGAAGTGAGCTGGGGGGGGACTTGAGGCAAGTCCAGAAGTGTCCTGAGGATTTACTGGGAGAAAATGGGATTGGGGCCCCGAAGCGCAGGCATCATTTTTGCAAGCAAGGCTGGGATCCATGATCTTCAGGGCATATCTGAAAACGTTCCCTTGGACCTGCAGCGCGTAGAGGTGTGAAGCTGGTGGTGATCAGGGGTTTTAGACGCACAGTCCTCAGTGTTTTGCAGGACGGTTGGGTAGCTCTTCCCCTGTGGAGGCCCTGCCAGGCTTTGATGGGAGCGGTGGATGGTGCAGAGCCCAGCCTAATGCTTGGACGCTCAGAGGTGCTGCAGAGCACCGTGGCTGGAGATTTATCACTGGGTTTGCGTGAAGATGTAGTGCAGCTCTATATTTTTTAAAGCAGTCATTGATGCCTGCAAGCCGTCCGTGGGAGAGGAGGAGCAAAGCATCTTCTCAGCGGGGTTCAAGAGCTCCTCTGCCGACCCACTCCCTCTGTGGAGGGCTGTCCCCCCTGCCTTGTTGTCCCCTCGGGTGACTGTCACCGTCGAGGCTGAATGTCCTCCTTCGCTTCGGGGCATTCAGGAGGTCTCTCTCCAAGATGCTTGACATCTCCCTAGGTACAAGGGATGCAGGGAGCGCTTTGGGGCGGAGAGGCTTCTTGTGGCGAGGGCGCTGGCTTCTCTATCAGCGTGTGGAAACCCACAATTAAATAGCTGAAAGCTTTAAAATGGTCACTTAAGGCTTCTGGGTTTTTCCCACTCCTGTAATCGGCACTTTTTTTAGGTGGTGTTTCAAATCAATGACGATAAGAAACGCAGCTCTAGCACCCTGGCCCCTGCCTCTCCAGTGTCCATCCTTGCAGGCAGTGCTGCCTGCTCTGCCACTTGAGGATTTAACAGAAGGGTCTCAGCTTCTCTGAACATCATGCCCATCCCGTCCCCCATCTTTGAAGCCCTGGCTCCTGCTGCTGTGGGGCTGTGTGGGGTTCGGCTTCTCTGAGAGCCGGGTCCCTGCGCTGCGGAGGAGAGCAGTTCCAGGGTGACCAAGCTGCATGGGAAAGGCTTAACAAGGAGGCAGGGTGAGAAGAATCGTGAATGTATTTGGAATTAGTCTGTTAAACCTCTCCAGGGATTATTTTTTGGGGGGGTTTTCCTTGTGGTTTTTGCCTGCCTGGCAGTTCGGAGGCTTTGCATGCTGGGGAGGCAGTGGGAAGAGGTGGCTTCAGAAGGGATCTGGTTCCTTGCATCGAGAGCTGGAAGCAGGGGGGTCTGATGGGTGCAGCAGGTTAATCATTGACAGCGGCTGGAGCTCCGCAAGATGCCTTAGGTCTTGAAGGATGCTTTTCAAAAAGCCCTTTGTGGTTCTTTGAGCCTTTTTGCGTGCGGACTTATCTTGTAGCAGGAGTAACAACGCACCTCTTGCCCCACAGGGTCCCCAAGTACTAGCAAAAGGTGTCAAAACCCCAGCAACATCCCAATTCCTCAGCAGTGCCCAAGCTGCCGCACTGCTGAGGTTTTTCCAAAATTCTCCAGAATTAGGTGTGTATGCACAGGAACATTTGTGGGTCCGTCAGCAGGGACTGTACAGCCCTGTGCTTCACCCTGGCCTTTTGCTGGAAGGCTGCATCCCTCCTCCATCTCTGCCGCTCGCTTTGCCGCAGCATCCCCTGCCGTAAGTCCCGGTGCAGCAGCCCTTGCGCGGTCCGGTCCTTCCCGGCATCCCGCAGTAGCTGCTCTTCGTGGCACCGGGGTGGCTCGCTCGCACCGTCTTGCTCTGAGCTGCAAGATTTATAGAGTCCATATTCAGGGAACCTTTTTCCCAAGCGTCACAGCAGGGCCAACACGTATTTCTAAGGCTGACTAGCTTTGCAGGGGCGTCTGAACACATCTTCAGCCCAGACTACTCCTAAATGTTAAGCTGGTGTAGCTCCTGATAACATATTTTGGTGGCCAGCACGTTCCGACAACCTGTGGGCTGAGCTGGAGACGACTCGACCATGCTTCATGTGTTAGTTCATGAGCTTCCTTAACGCAATATTTGCTCTGACACAAGCACAGTAAGTCCACAGACAGGTGCTAAAAAATAAACCTGGCTGTCAGCCTTCCTCCCAGCCCCTTGAGTCAATCAATACGTCCATTAATCTTCTATCCCAAAGCAAAGCCCTCAAACTGTTACTGTTTGTTTAGGTTTTACTGTTATTATTTTTAAATTCTCCCTCTTACTTGGAGGCGTTTAGCTGGGCAGGGGCTTTATCCAGCAACACCTTGCAGGGCCCAGCCTTCCCCGACCCATCTCCGCAAAGGCACTGCCAGTTCCTGACGACGAAATGGGGCAAAGTCTTTCCCGGAGGAGTAACGTGGTGATCTTGCCCGAGGTACTTTCGTCTGGTTATGTGGCATAATTAGGTGTAACGCTATTACGGCATTGGGTTTAAATATGGGTAGGTGAAGCTCATGTGACAATTTGCTTTGCGCTGTCCTTGTCTTTGACTCGACCTAGACCCAGGCTTTGAGACATGGTTCAGGCTTGGTTCATCTCTCTTAATGGTGCTGGCTGGTGTTAGCCAAGGTTTGAGGAGATATTGCTGGAGTTCTCCAACCTTTGCAGGGCTGAAGCGCTCGGAAGGCATCGCTCTGGATTTACCATAGTAATGGTGATCTAGGAGTGGGACCAGCGTCCTAAGTGATGGGTTTGGGTCTGGAGTGATCTGAGGGTATGGACTAACCCAAAGCAATGGAATGGACCTCTAAAGGTCCCTTCCAACCCAAAACATTCTATGATTCTATGATTCTAAGTTCATGCCCATCCACTGCATCACTGTTATGGGCTCTCTCTGCTTTCTCAGCCCATCCTGCAGAGCTTGAGCTACAACTTTAAACCAAGCTTTAGTGTGTTGGGAATAAAAGGTAGCCTTGGTGTGGGCTTGGGAGCGCAGGTGGGCAGGAGGCCAGAGCTGCTCCGGGCGCGGTGGCACAGGGTGAAGCCCAGAGCCCCGGCTCTGCTGCCGAGTCAGGCGATGGTTGCAAAACGCCCGGGTTGCACAACGCCTTTGCAGTGGAGATGGGGCCTGGAAACTCTGAAAGGTCAGAAAAAAGCAGCTTGCATTTCAAAGCTGCAGACCAAGAGGTTCTTGCGTTGGGGGCTCCGGTTCCTTCCTTTCCCCTGTGTAATTGGTTCCACCTGAGCATGACCTGAGGGCAGGCTGGTTTGGGTTGTCAAATGGAAGGACAGCGTAGCTTGACCCTGTGTTTTCCACCTGCTCAGAAGGGAATATGTGGAGAGGAGGAGGAGGGTCTGCTGTTAAATATGCTTGTCTAGCGCTGAGGAGGTGGGGTGCGGGTACACCGCTCTGAATTGGACTGTAAAGTCTGCGAGCAAGAAAAGAGAAAGAAAAGCGCGAGGTTTGGCAGGAGTGATCGCAACTCCGGTTGGCAATAGCGAGCCTGTTGAACCACAGCTAAAGGGGTAAGGATTCGGTTCCTGGCTCTGACCTGCATCTACTGGATGAGTGTCTTGGTCCTTTGCTCCCAGCATATAACCTGGGGATAACAGGATTACTTCTTTTGTCACCGTGTGGTGAGATCTTCCTCTGCTCTCACCTCTGATGTAGTGCCAGGGCACTTAAACTTCCTGTGGAGGGCAGGTTCCCAGGGGCAAGTCTCTGCACAGGGCAGAAGGTCTTGGTTTTACTGCAGGAGCAACAGGAACATGCCCCAGACATTTGAATTAAGAGCCAGATGTTGCGGGCTCTAGCTGGCAGAGGAGCCAGGACCTCCTTATGCCTGTACCTGCCCAGAAGAAGGGGCAGCCCGGTGCCAAGCTCAGGAAGTACTGCAGCCAGGGCAAGTGTCTCTAGTTGTCACCCTGCCTGAGGGACAGGAGCTCTGCCCAGCCTCTGTATGGGCTGTAGTGCTGCCATAAAGCAATGGCATGTCAGGTTCCCCAGTGGGGGATGGCCCTGGAGAATGTAGGCAGCGCTTGGTCTTACTGGAACCTTGTGTGTCTAGGAGTCTATCTCCTGTCTGTCCTTCCAAAAAGAGGAGGAGGTACCTGGACTGGTAATGGTGGTATCTGAGTGCATGGCTGGTGGTGTCCCATGGTCCTGTCCTTGGGTGAGCACCCAATGTGTCCCTGGTGTCTGCGCCTTGGGTCGATTGGCGTGGCACCAATGCCTGGAGGCATAGTGTGGGTGGCACCAGGGGATGAGGTGATGGTGTGCCACACAGGTCAGTGATGGATAGATACAGTCAGAGACCTTGTTATGGATTATCCTGCAGAGGAGAAAGCCCAGGCACTGGGGCCATGTTCATACAGGGGAGATGTTGCAAACTCCTTGGTATTTCAGTGCCGCTGTGCTGCCTGGGTTCCCTGATGAGTGAACAGAGTGGTCCTTGGACCAGCAAAGCTGTTTCCCAGTCAGCAGCCAGCCTTCCGCTTCTGAAGGAATGGGAAAAATGCCGGGTACTCCGACCTGCTTCACCCTCCCCATGGGAGTCTCTGCCAGAGAACTGATGTTTGCCTACGAGGAGAGAGAGAAGAGGAGCAAGCAGTGCAATGCAGGAGAAATACCTATAAAACCTCCCTGTCCTGAAAAAGAAAAATGTCTTATCTTCTCCTAGAGCTGAAGAGAAGGAATAAATCATCATAATTCCTTCCATGCACACCAGTCCAGACTTCTGGCTCTTCCCCTGAACCTGCTGGCTCTCTAGCTTCAGAGTCATGCTCTGGTGGCACCGTCAAGAGACGCTGGTGATCAAACTTCCCGTACCACAAGAAATGTAGAGATACTGGTGGCAGCAGAGCACCCTGCAGAAGGAAGGACCATCCCATGGGCTCTTATGTGAAAATCCCACCAGGGGCTGCTGGCTCTGGAGCAAGCCCAGTGGTGGCTTGTGGAGACCCAGCCGTCCTGGGAAGGGCTTTCTGTCATGTTGCTCTTTCTCAAAAGAGACTCAATCCCAACTACCGCCCTACAGGCAGATCTGCAGATACTGACCTGTATGTCAGCGCGTGTGTGCGTGACGTGGCTTGCTGGCTTTTGCCTACATTTGCCCCAGTTGTGGACCCCCTAGTGAGAGAGCAGATGAACAAGGTGGTGGAGCTCTTCCTCAGGTCATTGGGGAATTGAGGTGGAAGAAACAACACCAAGAAAGCACTTGTCATGAACAGAGTGTGGGTTTCCTGATTCTTCCTCCCTTATACTGTTGTGCAACAGCTCACTGCCTACCACTGGGGACAACCCTGTCGTCGTACCCAGTATCCAAACTGAGCTTGGTAGCAGGATAACTGCATGTTTTAATCCACAAGACCACCCTGATTTGTGTTGGATTGAATGGAATCACAGAATCACAGACTGGTTTGGATGGGAAGGGACCTTTAGAGGTCATCTAGCCCAACCCCCCTGTAGGAGCAGGGACACCGCTAACCACATCAGGTTGCCCACAGCCCCGTCCATCCTGGCCTGGAATGTTCCCAGGGATGGGGCCTCCACCACCTCTCTGGGCAACCCGTTCCACTGTTTCACCACCCTCACTGGAAAGAATTTCTGCCTTAGATCCAGTCTAGACCTACCCTGCTTCAGTTTAAAACCATTCCCCCTTGTCCTGTCCCAGCTGGCCCTACTAAAAAGATTGTCCCCCCCTTTCCTATGGGCCCCCTTTAAGCCCTGAACAGCCGCTCTCTTCTCCAGGCTGAACAACCCCAACTCTCCCAGCCTGGCCTCATGGGAGAGGGGCTCCAGCCCTCAGATCATTTTTGTAACCCTCCTCTGGCCCCGCTCCAACAGTTCCATGTCCTTCTTGTGCTGAAGGCTCCAGAACTGGACACAGCACTGCAGGTGGGGTCTCAACCAGAGCAGAGTAGAGGGGCAGAATCACCTCCCTCAACCAGAGTGGGGTTGGCTTCTGGGCTGCCAGCGCCCATGGCCGGCTCATGTCCAGCTTTTCATCCATCACTGCCCCCAAGTCCCTCTGGGCAGGGCTGCTCTCCATCCCTTCATCTCCCAGCCTGTACAGATACCGGAGGTTGCCCTGACCCAGGGGCAGGACCTTGCACTTGGCCTTGTTGAACCTCATGAGATTTGCACAGGCCCACCTCTCCAGCCTGTCAAGGTCTCTCTGGATGCCATCCCGTCCTTCTGAAGGGCAGCTTGCAAGTGCAATGCTCTCCTCTGAGTAGATTTGCAACGACACCTGAAGGGGACTGTGTGTCCTCAGCGTATGTTTGACTTACGCAGGGTGACATGTTTCCTCCTGTGCAAAGTTAGCAACACGTGCTGGTTTTGCTTGCTCAGAAATGAAGAGTGCAGAAGTCTTAATAAGGTTCCAACAGTGAAGCAAACAAATGTACTGTTCTTGCCGGGGGGTGATTAGCTTTGTACTCGGGAATTGCCTTCAGAAGCTTGTTCCTCAGTTGGCTGGTGCTCCCTGGAACTCATCCTGCCAGGTGGGGACACCTCTAATGTTTGCCTTTTTTCTCTTTTACCGATGGACTGAGAAAAGCTTGTTGGCCTTTATTACACTTGAGCTTTTCAGCGGTGGTGGTGGGGCATTTGTTGTCTTGCTCATGGCCTCTAGTGTTGCATGTAGCCATCAGAGAACATTTCTAGGAGTCGCCCGCTTTGCCAGGGTCCCATCACTACGACATCCTGCTTATTCTGTAGCTTAAAAACAGAGTCGTCGTACAAAAAGGTAACATGTGAGCAGAGTTGTTTTTCAAATCCATGCAGAATATGCACAAATACAACAGCAAATGGGACTGAGAGCAAAGACAACATAGTATCATAGAATCATTTAGGTTGGAAAAGACCTTTAAGATCATGAAATCCAACCGTAATTTTCTACTCCAGCTCTGAACAGCAGATACAGATTTTCTGCCCACCCCCCCTATAAATTCAAAGCACTTGGCCCCTGGGAGATAGGGTCCACAGCTCTGCAGACCATCACTCAGCAAGCAAGGAGGTGAACGGTCACCTGCCCTCATCCTGGAAGCCATCAAACATTGGAGATGGTAGCAGTGGTGGAGGACAAGAGTGATGGCTTTTCGGGTGTCAGCAATGGTGGGGGAAATCTGCTACTGCTCTTGAGTGGTCACCACAGAGCTGTGTCTTATAGCCAACGTCCCTTCCTGCTGTTGAGGCCGCTCCATTTGCCGTGTTCCTCACCCTCTGGTTGGCAGGGAGGTGTCCAAAATCAAAACAGAGCAAGCTGTGCCCATTCTCTGGGAGCTGGTCTGCTGGCCAGGATGGTTTTAGTTGATGGGCCAGCTCTGTGTGCTCATCCCACCATCAGCCCAGCTCCCACGCTGCCCAGACCTGGTCTTCAAGCAGGAGCCATCCTGCCCTGGGACCAGAGCAGTCCCCGAGGTGGTCGCTGGCTGGTTGGGTGCAAAGAGGGAGACTGCTTCCCCCAGGTCTGTGGGATCCAGGCGTGCAGCAGCAAGATATGGGCTGGGAAAATGGGTTTGTCTAAATGGAAGAGATCAGGGCAGGCCTATTGTACGGACCAAGTAATAAGTGTTGGGATGAGAGGAAATGGCCTCAAGTTGCACCAAGGGAGGTTTAGATTGGATATTAGGAAAAGTTTCTTCACCAAAAGGGTTGTCAAGCATTGGAACAGGCGGCCCAGAGAAGTGGTGGAGTTCCCATCCCTGGAGGAATTTAAAAGTCGGGTAGGCATTCTGCATAGGGACATGGTTTAGTGGTGGAGTGGCAGGGTTAGGGTAATGGTTGGACTTGATGTTAAAGGTTTTTTCCAACCTGAATGATTCTATGATCTCTGCTGTGCACTTGCTCCCAAGGGCTCAAGGTGAAGATGCTTGAGGAGACTTTGGGCAGGAAATTGGTCTGGCCCTACCTTCTGGTCTGTCACCTTTCACATCCGTGTTGCTGTGTTCAGTGTTTCCTCACCCAGTGTACTGAAGTGTCTTGATGGACTCTTGTACTTGAGCAACAGTCAGAACCTGTCCTACCCTTGAGACTTCAATTTAGCTGCCCCAGCGCTTTCTGCACTTTCTGTTCCTCCTTTGAGCCCGTTTTGGCACGTTCCCTTTGCCTCTTTGCTCCCAGAGGGTCTCTCTTCTCTCGATGTCTTTGGCCTAGAAGGGGGATGGCTGACAGAGGACAACATGGTGCTGAGGTCCCACCTGCAGTGCATCTCCATGGGGGTCATGGCTGTCATCAAAAGTCAACCAGCCTAACTGTTGTCTTCCCAAAGACCCCGCTCTGCACCAGAAGCAAAAAAAAGGGGGGGAGAGGGGGTTACACGGTGACACAGAGTAACCCATCAACCCTTGCTGAATGCTTGGCTTTGGACATTGTCCCTAGGCGAGCCTCTGGGAGGGTGGCTCTCTTGTTCCCCTTCATGGGACTTGATGTTCACAGTTAGCATTGCTCGTAGGGGATGCACAGCCATGCAGCCTTCGGAGCAGAAAACTTAAGTATCTTGCCTGCAGTGGATGGCTTGGGGGGGATGCAGTTGGCTTTGGGGGAATGCAGATGGCTTGGGGGGATGCAGTTGGCTCTGGGGAGATGCGGATGGCTTTGGGGGGATGCAGCTGGCTCTGGGGGGGATGCGAATGGCTTTGAGGGGATGCAGTTGGCTCTGAGGGGATGCAGATGGCTTTGAGGGGATGCAGTTGGCTCTGAGGGGATGAGGATGGCTTTGGGGGGATGCAGTTGGCTCTGGGGGGACCCAGTTAGCAAAGCAGAGCTGATGTCACCCCAGGCATTAGACAACACAGAGATGGAGATGAGGTCCCCCCCGCCGTGCCCGCTCTGCTCTTGCGCGGGAGCAAGTGACGACGGGGGGCATATGTGCATCCTACAGCAGGCAGTGCTTTTGGGCTGTGCGCCAGTCCTGCTGTAGGCAGGGTGTCGAGCGAGTGATGGATACCTGCTTGCCAAGCAGAGAGAGTAGGCGGGGAAGTGAACGCGTTTCCCACAAGCGTGCTGCAGTGAGTGGGTTTTCACGTGGGCAGTGGGATGGATCTTGTGGTCCTGCCTCTGCTCGACCCCTCGTCAGCCATGGTGCTCAGAGGCAGAGGTGTCATTGAAAGGTGGTGGGGTCCTACTCCCAACGTGAAAGAAGGGAGGGCACCTCGAGGCTGGGCTCAGCGGTGACTTGCTCCAGGTGATACCATGGGTGGCACATAAGCACACATGGGTGTCACCAGTTGGTTTTAGCTGCTGGTAGGTACAGACCCACGCGGGTGCTCAAAAAACAGCCCTCGTGACACCAAATGATGCCTCTAGGCACTTAAATAATTTGCGTAATCTGGCCAGCGGCAGCCCTAGCAAACAGCCCCGATGTTAGGGAAGCGGTGAAGGGGCTTCCTCCAAACCTGGTGTACCTTGCAGGTACCACACATCTCCCCAACAGGGCATTGCTCCCACATTCATGTACCCTACACACAGAGCGATGGCTCCGCAGCTTCCTGGCTGGAATGAGGCCACCTAATTTGGGAACCTCTATTCCAGCAGCACCCAGGGACGCTCCCACCCTCTCAGCTTGCAACATCCCGGTGCAATCACCGACCGTAAGCGCTCAGGGCAGGGACTGTGTGCACTGGTATTGCACGGCCGTTAGCACATTGCTTGTCCATTGGCACTGGGGGGTAGGACACCATCCTCGACCTGCACGTCGGGGTGGGGGAGCTTGATGCCTGCAACTCCGATTCTGCTGCCTCCGCTTTCCTTACAGCAACCCAGGTGTCTTGGAGAAGGGCGGAAAGAAGCAGCAGCAATGGTTTTGTGTGTTATCCTACAGTCCTTGGGATTCCTGTCGCCAATGAGTCATGCTTCTGACCTGGAAGTGGCGCAGGAACCGTCTGCAGTTTGCATCACCACCAGAGCCACCATTGGCCTGTGGCTGGGAGCACTGGCTGGGAGCCAGGGATGCTCCTCAGCACCTCCACTATTAACTGAGGTCTGTAAAGTGCCTGATGAGTAATGCCTCCAGCTGCTGACAGCTGGGGATTCACAGAATCCCAGAATGGCAGGGGTTAGAAGGGACCTCGGGAGATCAGCCAGTGCCACCCCCCTGCCCAAGCAGGGTCACCCAGAGCAGGGGACACAGGACTGAGTCCAGGCGTGGGTTGAATATCTCCAGAGAAGGAGAATCCACAGCCCCCCTGGGCAGCCTGGGCCAGGGCTCGAGCACCCTCAAAGTCAAGAAGTTTTTCCTCATATTCAACTGAAACCTCTTCTGCTTCAGTTTGTGCCCATGGCCCCTTGTCCTGGCGCTGGGCACCACTGCGAAGAGTCTGGCTCCATCCTCGGTACC